TGGACACTTACCTAACGAGGTGTCTGGTGTACCTACTCTTAATGACAAATTTAGGGGCATGGTAAGTCTTGAATTCTATTTCGTCAGCCAAATGGATTTTACCCTTATTAGAGCTATCGCGACTAAAATCCTTTACAATCTGCAACCTTCGACAAAGTGCTTTGGACGACACTTTATTACCAGACTTCAAGTCTCCGACAATAAAGAAAGAAGAAAAAATCTTTCTCATAGGGGCGTTACAAGAGACACTTCCTCTAAGCAATGCTGAAACTAACTGCACTTTTTCTGATTGTTTCCATAGAACTATTTTGTCTTTAGCGTCTCGAGAATTTTGTCGAAGATTTGAATTAACTTTGTAAGCCTGACCGCCTCATTCTTTCTCATTATTAGCCCTTTCCTTACAACAGAGACGTAGACAAAATTTCCCAGGGGGGGTTAAAGATGGGGTGTGCTTCGTTAACATCTAACTTTTTCCTCCACTGAGAGAGTGCCCCACGGATACCCCGAGACCCCACTTGGCGGCTTTTTCGCTCGGTTTCAAAGATGGAGGTGGGTCGGGAGGCACCTGGCTGAGTGACCCCTGGTGCAAGGTTGCCTCACTTAGCCACGCCCTTACACAAGAGGTGCATCTTGCTTGTATCTATAAATAAAATCCATCCTGATGTATAGCAAACTTTTATCCCAACAGTGCCGAGAAAGCTAAAATTGACAGGACAGAAATACCAAATGCCACGGAAATTTTGGTTCAGATTCTGAAAACAAAAAAATACGACAAAAACGCCAGACCCCAGGCAGGAGGTAAAGTCTCTTCAATGGCCTCTTTAAACTCTTACGTGACTCAACGTCTTAATTCCAAAACTGATGAGTATGTAACTTCTTCCTAATTACTCTAGGGACCAGTAATTATTTATCGCGGGTGGGGAGGGGTGGGGGGGTCAAAGGATTTCTCTGGGGATCACATGGTTTTCTGGGTAATCGGAGAGGAGATCAGTCGTAGCCAATAGAGTATAAAGGGGAGGGACTAAATAAAATTGACTGCCAATTAACTGCCAAGGAGGGGAAGGGGGGGGGGGGAATCACAATAATATATCGGAACCTTACGGAGACCAGTAAATCTGATTGTAACATAACTAAAATCCTGCAACCGACCTCCCACGGCGATACTATTCTGGAAACAGAAGACGAAAAGAGACAAACGGATCAGCTGGGGTTTTTGGGTAGTTTGATAACAAGTCAAGCTCTCCGCACTAAGTAACAGGGAAATATAACTATACGGCAGCCAAAAGGGAGAAATTTTAATCTCGTCTTTAAGTTTATAAGGAAAGGAATCTCTGGAAGTTCTCATTTGGAAGACAAACTTATCTAAAGGGCTTACTTAGTATTACCACGACAAATAGTGGTTGATAGCTAATGCGTATAGTTGATAGAATTTACCACGACCAATTCCCAACTCTTGAAAACTCGTACGTGACAAATAGATCCCCTGACAAGGGTGTTGACGAGTGAAGATTAGAAGAAAGCAAACTTTGAAAAGGAATTAAAATCCACCTTTTCCTTAGGGGATCCAGTTTGTGTAAAACTCAGCATGGCGGTTCAATCTTTTACAAATATAAAGGAATCGAATATGGTGAGTAGATATATTTCTTTTACTGTTAATTGGCTGGTGAGTTGTCTCTACTGTTGTTTACTTATTTATTTATTACAAATTCACTCCACAAGAATACACAAACAATTAATAGTAATTACAATTAAGGTTAATAAAAACCATAAAAGGAAAAATTGTGGAGAAGGAGACAACCAAAAGCGCTGTCGCACCATACAAGGGATGCCCCCTCCAATTAAAAAATATTTCAAAACTATATAGATATATAAAAATAGATGCCCTAATTATCCTTATCCTTAAATAAAACTTAAAACATTCTTTTTAAAAGTTTCAATACTATCTGATTCTCTAATGTGATTAGGTAAGCTATTCCATTCACCAACGATACGGTTAAAAAAACTGTATTTGAGACCGTTAGTTCTGCTAAAATTTGGGACAAGGTCCTGTGTGTCATTTTTCCTCAAATTATAAGCCATGCTTCTGTCCTTACAAAATATGAGCTTATTGGAAGTGTCTATGTCATTTACTTGCATTTTAATCGACAATACTCCCGCTTTGCACGAGGATGATACCTTGTCAACGGATTAAGATCGAAATAAAAAAATAGTAATAACTGTCCTATCAAATTCCCATAGCAACATAAGGCCAGTGAAGAACACCCCTTAATTTTCTACCAAGTGCAATAGCTTTATAACTAACTGTAAACCACACTTTGATACCATTTTTAAAATGATCGGACTCAGTGACATTCTTATCACCACCCCTCCCCCCATCGTTAACAGTCAATTTTCTATAGCGCCCCCTTTATACTCTATTGGTGATGACTGATCCACCGTCTGTTCCCCTTGAGAATCCCGTGATCCCCCTAAAATCCTCCAACCCCTCCCACCCCTCCCTTGATGAAAAATGGTGACTGTTCCTTTATGTTTTTCAAAAGGAATTTACAACATCGATGTTCTTGCGTCAGGAATGGGTCGATAAAAGGTTAGAACATTTGTTGGATGGGACGTTGCCAGTGAAAGGCAAAGATGTGGAGAAAATATGGCGTCCAGACACCTACTTTACAAACATGAACGACTACAAGCTGTACGAGGACAATCAACTGGCTCTGATTTCAAAAGATGGTAGAGTCTACTTTAGTTCGAGGTAATTGAGCGAAAACATGCAATAACATGCAATAACATGCAATAACGTGCAATAACGTGCAATAACGTGCAATAACGTGCAATAACATGCAATAACAGGGGCACACCTTGAGGAGGGGAGCAGGAGATGACCTGATTTCTACTATAATTTCACGGTTATAGAAACTTGCTGTATTTTTGGCTGTGTATCCTCAGCAGTGTTCATTATAAAAGCCGTATCTCTCGTTTTTGTTTACGCCACCCGTCAATTTCTTCATTCCTTAGTGGAGCATCTTATAACAAAAATCCTGGATCCATCCCTGAATAGTGGATTTAATTAAACAAACGGATCCCTCTTCTAGACGACGAATGAAAAATTAAGAAACGCTAAGTAATCAAAAGCACAGAAACGTTGGGCCAGTTTTCAATTGTGTCAAAAATATTCCAGAACGTACTTCTTTGATTTTGCTTTACTACCCCAAAGGACGCGCTTTTAATGTGAGAAATTCCCTTACACTCTTTGAAGTTAATTTTTGTTTTCTATAGCTTCATGGATGTATTGAGGAGAACCGTTTTTATTTTCAAATTCTTTTAAATCTCAATGGAGAAAGTGCGTTTGATCATGCTCTTGAATTGTGCACAATCTAAATTTTAACTTTTATTGGCTACTGCCATCATCATCTTTACAATATAATTGTCATTGTTAGGATGATCACTGTTATCAGTGATATGATTTACCTCAGAAGTCAAACGCCCAGAATTCTTTGTAATCTATGTAATTACAAAATAATTTGGATATATCAACAAACTTGAAATGGTAAATTGGCCACCGTAACAATTACAAAAGCTGACCTTTCGAGCGTTAGCCCTTCGTCGGAGCTTTTGTAGTCGTGACGGTGGCCAATTTACCATTTCAACTTTGTTGATATATCCAAATTATTTCGTTAGCCCCACCGACGCAGCCCCAAACAGTTTCTTTAGAAACTATCAGCCTTTATTCCTACGTAATTACAGTCAGGTTCAACCCCTCTCCTCCCCCCCTCCCCCCCACAAGTCTTAAGGTTTTCACTCCCCGCTCATTGACTTCTTCAGGAACCTGACCAAGCTTGGTAGCAGGTATTATGAGAACAGCCTCTTCCCATGATGTGATTGTTAATTCTCCCCTTTAGCTGCTGCAAATGTCCTTGTAAATGACAGAGCTGAATAATGAAATGTTAGGTCAGCGGGTATGCGGTCAGCAACGCGGGCTCAAGTGTCCTAGTCTAAAGTTAAGCGAAATTAGCGGAAAATAATAAGGGCTGACCTTTAAAACCGTGGAACTCTGTTTTCGTCGAAGGCACTTTCCTATTTCGAAAGGTTTAAAGGAAAAATTAATTTTTGAAAATTTTTTAGGGGGTTTACCAAATTTTTGGAGGTTGTTCTGTAAAAGAAAAGCGGCAAGGAAAACAACGCCTCGAAGCAACAGAATAGGAAATCAATCATGCGAACGACTCAAAATCCGTGTTTCCGCGGCAAAACCTGGCGCATGCGTGTACGTTATTCAGCTCTGTCCTTGTAAATCAGTTACAGAATTTTGTTGCAGATGAAGATAACATTATCCCTGATAAGTTTGAGTGTTCTCTTCACCTGTTTGCTGAATACTTTATGGATATTATGGGGAGAAGTTACATGTTAATCACTTATTGGAATTCAAGGAATATGTTGGAAATTTCTTTCTTCTGTTGCAGGTTAGTTGTAGCTGCTTCCTGTCGGATGTATTTACAAAAGTTTCCGACGGATGTCCAGAAGTGTAGCCTGATTCTTGAAAGTTGTAAGTATGAGCAGGGTTTGTTACTGTTAGTTTGATTTTTTCGAAAGAGGCTTGGCGTGCGAGAGGTGAACCAGCGGATTCACAAGCCGCCTCTTAGGAAAGCCTTGAAGGAGAACCGTAACACGAAAAAAAAAAAAAAAACAGACGTAAGGCGTAAAAATTGACAAATTTTAAGCATTAGTCGTAAAAAACCTCCCCCTTTTTCATGTAACAAAGGCGCCTAATTTTGTGCGCTGATAGAAGACTAAACTCACAACAAATACGAGAGGAAAACAACTGAGACCTCTGCTACTGTAGGATTAAAATGAGGTCCGTCGCTTTGACACAAAGACCGTAAAGGGCACTCGTAAAACGGAACGGACTCGTGCCAGTCTCCTCTCTTAATATTTACAAACAGGAATTTCGAATAGTATGGTAAAGAAAACTGACTAAGCACTCTGTTTGCTGCTGTTACCTTTTCAAGTTGCCTTCACCAGAGACATGGTAGAATATCAATGGCAGTACCCCAAACCAGTAAACATCCTCAACATGGAGCTAGCGGAGTTTGATTTGACCAAGACGGAATACACTATCGACGATGTAGAGTATGTTGCAGGTACAAACTTAAATAAAGGTTTAGTTCATCTGTCTGATAAGGTTAAGTTAAACCGAGAGAAATATATAATTCCTCAAGGGGAAAATGTATTTTCGTCCAGTCACGAGCTTGGGGACAAAGATAAAAAATTCTAGAGCACCCATAAGGAATCGAAACCTCTGACCCTCGGATTCTTCGCTCACATGTTCTAGCACTTGAGTCACGGAGAATTTATGGCGAGCCAGGGGCATTACGAAGTCCAGTATGTTACACACGTCCTGCTTTTGCAAGGACCAACGAGTTGGGAGCATCATGTGTGTACAAAAAATAAGAAAGATGGTGTAAAAGAATAACCAAGTTGGTAAATTTTGAGTTCAGTTCAGAAAAAGAACGTTTTTCGTCTAATCATGAGCGTGGGAAAATTTCTGACTCCTCATGATGAATCAGACCTCAGAATGGACCTTCTTCCTTTTGTAAAAATATCAGGTAACAGTTTTGGGGCCTGGCGAGTTCGACCATCTGTGAAAATCGTTAAGAGAATCTTAGATATAAATCTCTGTTTGGCTTGCAGGTAAATACCGTGACATGATAGTAACTTTCACATTCAGTCGTCGGATCGGTTACTACCTCATTAACTTCTATGTTCCCTGCATCATCATGGTCATTATGAGCTGGATCGTGTTCTGGATGGATCGAGACAACATCGGCGACCGAATAGCACTCGGGATCACAACCGTGCTCACGATCGTATTTTTACTAGGTTCCAGTAACAGTACCATGCCCCGAGTCAGTTACCCGAAGGCGATAGATTGGTACATGATGACTTCGTTCATCTTCGTGTTCATGTCGCTGATCATGTGTCTGTTGATCTTCCGCTTTGATCGACGGGTAAACAAACAGCAGTGCCCGCCGAGGTCGGTCAGCGGTGAACCTCCAGCCGAGGTGATCTCGATGCAGGTAAATTTACTATCATTAAATAAAAGTTACCAACAGACACTTTCAAAATAAAGCACCTCACACGAAAACACATCACAATGACGTGGCTAACGCTCAACAGCCCACTAAATACTAACTTTCAATCATTCTCCTAACTCTAGATGCCAGAAGAGCCAGACATTCGAAGCCGTGTTTCGTACTTCGTGGCAGACTCTCAAGGAGCTGTGTATCCCATCGTTCGCAGCGTGTCTGGTCTCAAAAAGAGGACTCTTTTAACGCAACGCTTTCCCAAGAAGCTTTGCGGAGTGCCGATAAAAGTCACCAGGGATAACCTCGGAGTGGCGCTGAACAATCTCTGCAGATTTCTCTTTCCGTCCTCGTTTCTTTTGTTCAATCTTGTGTATTGGGTGGGCATAGCCTAAGTATGATTGAAATTAGACAAGGCAAAAAGCTTTTGGGTTTATACCTTTGTCAGGCGACCTCGTGATGGTCTTAAAAACTGATTGCTTAGTTAACAGGTTGAGTTTGTTTTATTTTTCGTGTCGTTAAAATTCCTCCAGACTCTCTCATGTGAAAACTTTCGGTTCTGTTTCCTGAATGAAAAAGCTCAACCATAAGAATTGAAACAAGTTACCTCCAGTCAAGAGAAAATAACTCTAGATGTGATGCAGACTTCTCGAAAACGTACTTTCGTTCGAAATTATCTATAAACGTGAGTGAAAGTGACATATCCCGAGGCCAGGACCAGAAGCCTCCTTCCCTCTACCATGATTTTCTCTTGCCTTAATATAAGAACACAAACAGACTCATCATGACACCAAAAGGCAAGCCCGAATAACCAAATTTTGGAAACCACTATGGCTCGCCTCGTAATCTAGCAAGTTTAGGAAGAGCAAATAAAAAAATTTGCCATCTAGACGATGATCTTTTAAAGATAATCTGCCTCTGGAACGAGGATAAACATCACAAGGTAATTTGTACAAAAACTTGTTGGTCAACATGTATACTTCTTAGAAGCCACTTGTAGATAAATTTGACATCTAGTCATTCTGAACAAACTTTACACCGGGGAGAAAAAAAAAATAGCAAAGTTTCCGTATTTATTTCTCAAGATCTAATCTTTAATTCTCCCCTCTAGTTACTACACACTTAATTGGCTACGAGAATTTGGTTTAAGATTAAGATGACTCAGTCTACCTGATAAGTTTGAGTATTCTCAGTTGCTGTTTGCTGGACAACGTATGAACAATATAGTGAGTTGTGTTAATCATTTCTGAGAGTTTAAGGGTCAAGTTGTAAGGGTGGGTTGTGGTTTTATCTAAAATAACACAAAAGCAAATTTAACTTTTGATCGTGGAATTGTGCTAAACGCCTCTTAGGAAACTAGCCTCGTGGAATGGAATGAAGAACGGCTTAATAGAGTCTTACGGATATCCTCACAAGAGAGATGATTGTTTAGCTACGCTACAGTCGCCTATTGATCTAAACAATACAAGTCTCAGAATCTAAACTTCTAACGCCGAAAAAAAAAAACGGGACAAATTTGGAACTAATAACACCGAAAAAAGAAAACTGTCTAGACTGCATTGTAAAAATCAATTCAAAGCATTCTTAATTGTAATAAAAAGGGTACAGAAGGTGAAATTTCAGGGATCTAGAAGAGGCATTATGTCTTTTAACTAGCTGTTTATAGAGTCAGCGTTCATAGCGCCATTGAATAGAAGCAATAACTTTTTCTGTGAAGAGCATTTTCAATTGAGTGTTGAAATCAGGCCTCCATTTTGTTTGATTTATCTCGCTCTGTGATTGGTCTAGAAAATTTCGCGCCATTCTCTTAATCAGTCAGGTGCGAAACTCAAACCAATCAGCGTTTCGTCTTCTACACTTTCCGGCGCTTCACAGAGTTTGCCTGGTTTTAACTTTGAGTTCTAATTGGCTCCTTCTGGTATTTTTCCTTCGTTCTCATTGGCTCTTTTTGGTATTTCTTTTGTTCTTATTGGCTCCTTTTGGTACTTCCCTTTGTTCTCATTGACTCCTTTTGATATTCTCCTGTTACTCTCATTGGCCCCTTTTGGTATTTTCCTTTTTTCTCACTGGTTCATTTTGTTATTTTCCTTTGTTCTCATTGGCTCCTCTTGGTATTTTCCGTTTCCCTCAATGGTTCGTTTTGGTATTTTTCTTTGTTCCCATTGGGTCCTTTAGATATTTTTCTTTGTTCTCATTGGCTGTTGTGATTGGTTTTGATTTTGCAATACTCAATCGAAAAGCGCTCAATAAGCTTGGCTGCATTTGTAGTTGAGGCATATTGCTTTTGTTGTTGAAAACATCTGTCGAAATGTAAATTGTTTTGAAATAAATTAATAAATGGAGACAGGTATAATAAAAATAACTATAAAAAAATCACAACATAAGTTGCAAAAACTGTACTGAACCGCAAGAGAGACATTTGTTATCAAACTATGACTAATCTATCATTTAAGATGTAGTTTTCTCCTCAAACAAGTCATTTTCGGTTTTCGTTATATTGAACTACAAAGATTCACCTTAGTGCCGATGGATGAAGAGTCGACCTACATACGAGTTAGGAAAAGCGTGAGGGAAGTCAAACTCGTTTCAATTTAGGTTCGAATTTCTCCCTACCCCCCACCCCTTTCCCTTCAGAGCAAGCTTGAGTGAAATGGAGAAGGTTGACCGGTGGGGCTTGGGAATAGGGAATAATGTTCGCATGCGGATAGTTAACACGAATATCAACTAGAAGTTCATTTATAAAATGCTCATGAACAAAATTTCTAACTGAGTTCCTGCATCGGAATCATGTACTTGGTGTGTATGACGCCTTGCAAGGCTGAACTATACAATTATTCACAAACACAAGAAACTACTACAATGAGTTGAAGTATCTTAAAATACTGTTTTATATTTTCCCATCATGCTCACGACCGCTGTTGATATTGACTACCGTTGATCTGTGAGTTTGGGCCAATAAAATACCTCGTTTCCTCTAAGAAACAAGAGGTTTAGGTATTTGAAGTCTTGAAAATACCTTGTTCAATTCCTTTGAAACAGATCCTCTAGTTTCCTCTGGGAAACAAGAGGTTTGGGTATTTGAAGTCTTGAAAATACCTTGTTCTATTCCTTTGAACCAGATCTGCTAGTATAGAGGGGTGGGGGTGGAGCAAATGTGATGCTGCGACGGTGGGAGGGAGGTGGGGGTATTACAAGATTACTCATTGGTTTTATCCAATGAATTAGAAGCGTAAATTGGCTACCGTAAAGAGCTTCTTAAGCTGCGTTAGCGAGTGTTGCCCTTCGCCAGAGCGAATAGAGAAATTGTGGGTTGTGTTAATGATCCGCTCGTAGTTTCTGCGACTTTCATGAGCATCTTATGCAAACTAATCCAGGAAAACTTAGCATCCAGCGGTGGGCACGATCGAATAAAATAATTTTGAAACTTAGCTATAACATGAAATACTTTCAGCACCAAGGTATCAAGTCATTTCCTGAGGTTTGAATCCCTATAATGCCAGTTACTCATGATGACGTCATTGCGCATAAAGCTGTGTTTATGTGTGGGCTGTCACCGGGAGTCCTTTACCTGGATTGTTCAACTGCCTTGTTGTTACGGCGTTTCTACAGAGCTATTAGGGACCTTAAGCAACGACGACGACGACGCCAACGAGAATGCCACAAAACAATAGGTTAAATAAGCAAAAAAAAAAAATGGCTCTGCACGTGCATCATACACTTTGTTTCATTTCTTCGCCGACCTCTACAAAACAACAACATGAAATGCCTAAATTCAAGGTTTTGTGGAGAACGTCAGCCCATGATGGTGAATTTTTCATCCTCCCTTTTAGTTTTAAAGCTGTTCTAAAAAAGTTGGTTCCCGCATCAGTAGTTCGCCCACGTTGTACCAGTGAGACTAATAGGAATAATCGTAAAATAGTTACGAAAGAGTGAACTACTATTTTGAAATGACGTTCTCACTGCCGTCGTCGTCGTTGCTTTTAAAAGGTCCCTCTTAATGATTTTTTCGCGAATTCAGACAACGCGGGAACCTCACAAACCAATCAGCAAACAGCAGGGACCGGTTACTTTCGACGAAAAAAAGGTTTGGTCAATGTTTTGCTTTGTTTCTTCATATATCATGTTATTATCCAACCGTACTCGCGAGACGAGTACAAATATCACGATATTTGTACTCGGAAATATCCGCGAAATTCGCCCGCACTGAAATAACAATTTGGTGTATTGTATGATAAATCTCTTATTAGACGTAGTGTAGTGTAGTGTCGCTGAGTATTTTTACTCGTTGTTTGTATTTTGACGAGCCCTACGGCACAACTCGTAAAAATACTCAGTGACAGAAAGTGTAATAAGAGATATTTACTGATGACGACTGGAGCTAACATCAGTTCTAGGGAAAAATAATCCCAAAAACTTGTCTAAAAAGAAAAAAAAAAAGGCCTGTGACATAGGCCCTGGCAAAGTATGGGAGATGTACTCTCGGGTAATGGTCTCCGGTTGTCACTCGACTAAGGCGCTATGACGGTTCTGTAAGCTTGTGTTCCGGTATTTGTCGTTCAATTTGGTTTCAACTCACAAGCAACAATAAACTGTCACTGGTGCATTTTGCGAAGCGGTAGGATCATGGGGAGGCTTGAGAATGAAAGACCTAAGACTAAAGTTAGGGACCAGAAACGTTTTATTAGTACTCTAACACGCCCCGTTTATCCCACTTTGAGCTATGTCAAGCAAATTTAACCTGTAAAAACTTTAGTCTAATTTAATAGGCCGCCGTTGCTTGTACTTCATTCACGCAAAACACCACCATGAAATATCAACTACTCGCGTAGATAACGCGCGTGATGCGTGTAACTTCCCGGCAGTCCTTGTAAGGTGAGGTCGTCCACGTTAATTTGGCGGGCGAGCCGCACGCGTGAGAAAATAAGTTTGGCATTTGTTACAAATTAGCGTTTATTTTCTCCGTTAGCCGTCTTTTGGTACTCTTACTTAAATAGAGTAACTTAAATCCTCTTGTTTGTCTTTTAGTTGACAAGTTGTTTCACAGTCAAAGACAAAGTCTCAATATGAATGTAGACAGATGAAGGCTGAAGGGCAAGTATATGTATGGGTAAGCTTTTGATTGCGTCTAAGCTTTAGTTTTACTACATAAACTTATTTCTTCATACTGTTAAGTTTGTAGGGGTGTTGTGTACGACTTGATACTAATATACCGTATTTTCTCGATTAAACGTCGGTCCCCCTAAGTAGATAAAAGTCGGGCAGACAGCGTTTATTTGAACTTGGTATTACGCTACGCTGATTGTTGTCAAGAACGAAGGTCTTGAAAGATCAAGTTAAATAGTTTGGTGCCAGGGGCCAGGTGGTGCATTTGCAAATTTACCAGAACTCTTCTTGAAGCTGATGAACAATATCCTTTTGCAGATATCACCAAGCCTGGTGCATCAGAAGAACAAATACTGTAATTATTATGTATACATGTATCCCAGACAGTGTACTTAGAAAGCTGTTGGTTTCAAAGGAACCTAGTCACACTTCAAAATGTTTTGTGTTTTTATAAACTGCCCGTGTTAAACAGTACATTCGTATTTTATCGGATATATTTATACATATAAATAGTACATGTTTGGCTATCAAACCCATAGTACATGTTTGGCTATCAAACCCATAGTACATGTTTGGCTATCAAACCCATAGTACATGTTTGGCTATCAAAACCAACGAAAGAAACTCAAAAGACAGGAGCACCCAACAATTTGTTTTCCTAGAAATTCTGCTCGGAAGGCCTAAAACTCCCCGGGAATTTTGTTACAGTGCGACTATTATTACCAGGGTTACTTAAGCTGACATGAGCGGGTGTTAGCCTTCGCCAGAGCGAAAAGAGGAATTGTGGGTTGTGTGTTAATATCCGCTCGTAGTTTCTGCGACTTTCATGGGCATCTTATGCAAATTAAGGACGCATTCCGCGGGAGCTCTTTCGGTAAATTCATCTATACTAAGCGTTCTAAGGTAGTACAAAACCTTATGTATATAAAGGCTCACATTTTGAAGAAAAGCTGTTGTTGAGGGTTACTGATTGTCAACGCCAGTGTTTACCTAAATGTAAAATACACACAGCTCTCATTTCGTGGAAATTATTTGCGCATCTACGCGGGCTGATAACTCAGCGATGGCTCGTTTAAGACGAGGAGGGTCTGTGAAGAAATATATAAACAGCTCCCTTTCCATAAGCTTCAGGCTGTCAGAGCGAAGGACCTGGAGACCAAAAAACTCAAAATTACGTCACGGGAATTTAACTTACGACACTGACAACTCTCCGCCATTTCGGTGAAGTGCTTTTTCACATTGTAACTATATCATTGCCATACCTTTTTCTTGGCCTCACAATCTTTTATAATATCTTTTATGGACTTCTCTAAGGTGACCAGAAGTTCATCAAACTGACTTAGACCATCTGCTATACGCTGAAGAGGAAGCAAAGGGAGTTCACGTCTTTAAAAGCTACAAGAACAATGTATTTACATAGGAAAATGACCGAGCTTTCTTTTACGAATAGGATCATGCATGTCGTTGTGGGATATGTAAGGTGACTAATCAAACACCTACGTAAAAAAACACGGCTAAGAAACGGATTAAGATTTCCTGGCCGCGTTTTTATAGCCGGAGGATCATTACCTGTGGGTTCAAATGAGGAAGACCACCTGTCGTAGCAGATTCTCCATAAACTGTCTTCATACACTGTTGAAGGTTACTCTCCCTATATTTGTGTTACAACATTTAACAGTTAACGATGGACGCTAAACATGTT